AAACACACGCCCCACTATTGCCGTCTTCACAACTGTCACTCACCCACAACCACCCCAACATACTACTAAACACCATCACACTATTGTTGTCGTCATACCCACCCACTCCAGGGCTCAGCCACCTGACCACTATTCCATCATTGTCATCGTCACAGCTACCACTATGCCACTTACCCCTACCCACCCCGCCACACCTTACCCTACTTCAACCGACCACCAACCACCATCGTACCATTAAAATCGTCATAAACTACCACCTTGCCACCCACAACCCCACTCTGGCCCTACCCCACCTCCTCACCCCACCCTACCTGCCCCCACCAACCCCGCCTATAGAACAGGGGTTAGGACAGGAGTGGTGGAGCAGGGATTTTGTAGGGATGTGGCAAGATGATAGTTGTGACGACAACAATAGTGAAATGGTGGTTGTTATAGTGTGGGAGAGGCGATAGGTGGGATAGTCCAAACAAAAACGATTGTTCGTGTTTTAGTATTTTTTGTGTAATTTTTTAATTAAAATTTTTTATTATAATTGAATTTAGGTTCAATAACGAAATAATTTATATTTGGTTTAATAATACAATTTTCTTATAAATATCATAATTAATTACTTTGTTAGAACTCGATAATTATCCTAATTATATTTTAGATTTTTTATATTTTAAAATGAGATGTTTATCCGACATTTGATTATGTTTATCCGCAGTTAGTTACACGAATTCAAGCATGAAGCTTTAATAAATTATACTTATACATAATTTACTTGTAATCTTGAATTTTAGGTAATATACATTAATATGCAGTATTTCATGTATAAAAAATGGTTTTTAAAAGTTTTTATCAAATGTTTTATAATATAGTATAGATAACTAGTTATATAAATTTCCCTTAACAAAAATCATGAGGATTACAAAAGATTACCGATAAAACCAAAATTATGTTATTACCCTTAATAATTTACTCCTCTCTCTCTCTCCCTATCTCTCTCTCTCTCTCTCTCTCTCTATATATATATATATATATATATAATTATTGTAGGTTAAGGTGAGAAGACTAAAAAAAGATCTTCACCTTTAGATGCACATTAAGATAAGATGCACCGGATCAATCATTGTATCACGCACGATTCATAGGTGAGTTTGAGATTAAAGATGATCAATGGTCCAGATCTCTTCTTACATTTCTTTACTTTTAAATCTCCTTCTCACATGATTCTTCAAAAATGCGAAAAAGACATGGCATCCAAAGATCTGGGAGAACTAAGATTAGCAAGAAAGATATACAGAGGAGTTCCAAAATCCAACAAAACATTCATCCGCTTTATTTATTCTTCAGCTCAACACAAAACACAATCAAGGGAGGAAGCCTAAGCCTTCTCTCCACCATTTCTATAACTATTTAATGATTTAAAATGAACATTTCACAGATGTCTACGAAGCTGCTGCTGAATCCTTGGCAATCTTTTCAGCTTTCGCAATAACCTCATCGATTCCTCCAACCATGTAGAACGATTGTTCTGATAAATCATCGTACTTTCCATCCAACACTCCCTATCAATCCAAATCAAACTCACCAATTTCAACCCAACAATTCACAACCAAACATACACACACACACACACACAAGGATGAGGCAAAATAAACTGACCTGGAAGCTGACAATGCTTTCCTTCAACTCCACATATTTACCGGGGGCACCAGTGAAAACTTCTGCGACATGGAAGGGCTGACTCAAAAACCTTTGGATTTTACGAGCACGAGCAACAGTCAACTTGTCATCTTCACTAAGCTCGTCCATTCCTAGAATAGCAATGATATCTTGGAGATTTTTGTAGTTCTGAAGAACTTTCTGTACACCACGAGCTGTATTGTAATGTTCCTCTCCCAAAATATGGGGGGAGAGCATACGGGATGTAGAATCAAGAGGATCCACAGCAGGATAAATACCAAGCTCGGAGATCTAATAAATGATAGGATTATAAAAAGCATCAGCTGACCGCTTCCAAAGGAAGACAAAATAAATTAACACTCATTTCGTCCCAAAATAAGTGTCCACATTTCTATTTTAGTTTGTCACATAATAAGTGTCTACTTTCCGGTTATACCCTTCAATTATGAGATGAGAAATTCTTTACTCCCTTATCATCAAGGTTAAATTTGCCATTTAGTTAATTATTAAGTATAATGAAAACGTATAATGAAAATTATGTGTACCTTTTTCATTATGAACATTTATGAGACCGAGGGAGTGGCCATTGTGTACCTGTCGGGATAGCACAGTTGTGGCGTCCAAATGAGCAAAGGTTGTAGCAGGAGCTGGATCTGTCAAATCATCAGCAGGCACGTAAATAGCTTGTACGGATGTAATAGAACCCTTCTTGGTGGTGGTGATTCGCTCCTGAAGGCCTCCAAGATCAGTGGCCAAGGTTGGTTGATAACCGACAGCAGATGGGATACGACCAAGCAAAGCAGAGACCTCAGAGTTGGCCTGCAATATAGACGGACGAGATTAGTTGACAGCTCTAAATCTAAAACAAAAAGATTTGTGAAATCAGCAAATCATACAAGCAAACCCACCTGGGTAAAACGGAAAATGTTGTCAATAAAGAGAAGCACATCTTGTCCTTCAGCATCTCTGAAGTGTTCTGCCACAGTCAATCCAGTCAGGCCAACACGGGCACGAGCACCGGGTGGTTCATTCATTTGACCATAGACAAGAGCACATTTGCTCTCACTCTGAAAACATAAACAATAGTGAAGTAAATAATCTGAAACAGCCGTCTAAAATTAGGGAGCATGTTAATACAGAATGACAGGAGCCTCATATACAAACCTGCTTATCACCTAGCTTAATGACGCCACTCTCCATCATCTCCCTGTACAAATCATTACCCTCGCGGGTACGTTCTCCGACACCAGCAAAGACGGAGAAACCACCTAGACAGTGAAAATGAGCGATAGTCAATAAGAAGCGTCAAACGAATCAACATGTTGAAACATATGAATCTACTAACCATGGGCTTTGGCAACATTGTTGATGAGCTCCATGATAAGCACAGTTTTTCCTACACCAGCCCCACCAAACAGACCAATTTTTCCTCCTCTCTGATATGGTGCAAGGAGATCAACAACCTACAAATACACAAAATATTAAATTGCATGATGACATGTTTTCAAACCCCGTTTCAGTACAGAAAGTTTAATGCACTTCTCATAACCTAACACAAAAAAACACTAACCACCCTTTGGGGTGGACATCAGCATACTCTCGAAAGCATGAAAGAAAAGACCAACAGACGAATCAACAAAACTGCCAACTAGAACTGTTCTTAAGAAGACTAATATTTGATGAACTTCATGTTTTTTACCACTTCGCCTGTTCATTTCCTGCACCATCCCCTCAAGAAAAGGTAAAGAAAATTAAAAAAAATGAAACGATTAACACAACTACCAAGGGAAAAAATAACAATAAAAAAACATGATGAAAAAAATAACGCAACTATCAAGTGTAACAATCACAAAATTCTGTGCCTTTTCTACATAATTGAATTACCAACTTCTCAATCATTTTACCATTTATAAGCACAGTGGAATAAAAAAGTGTATGATCTTCTCCAAGCAAGACATACATAAGGATTTACAATATGGCAGATGCCAGGATGATGTAAACATAACAAAGACATGAGTTTTGAACCAAAGTTGTTAATAAACCACCAACATGAAGAATCAAATATCAACACCTACATCAGAAAAAGATGGAGAAAAGATCATCCAAACAGTCTTGCATTATATATTACCTTGATTCCAGTTACGAGAATTTGTTGTTCGGTTGCCTGCTCAACAAAAGCTGGGGCTTCTCTGTGGATTGGCAGATAATGGTCGGTTTCTGTTGCAACATTTTGAGGAAATATAAGATACTCTTTCCACGAGAAGATATGAAATATATCCTACTGGATGTCATATAAAGCACTTACTAATGTCGCCTCTATGGTCGATAGGCTCTCCAATAACATTGATGATACGCCCAAGGGTGGCTCTACCAACAGGTACCTACCATCATGGGAATGAAAACCCACATGAAACGCATTACAAGATCAGACTCAATAAGCACCACAAAATAGCAAGTGGTATAATACATTCTTATACCACATGAAAATGCCTACCAATTTGAGTATCAAATTATCAGAACATCCTTAATATTTTGGTGAATGACAAAAAGATAACCAATTGCAATTGTATGCTATCAACATTTTTACGTTTCTGAAGGTAAAACAAGGGTTGTATTTTGAGTAATAATTTAAAAAATTGAGATTTTAGTACACTTATGTGAAAAGTGTATCAGATCATCAATAACATATACACATTCCCCTATTTTCTTGACCTCTGGTGAAAAAAGCAAAAGACATGGGCCACATTTCAATCGACAAACTTCAAGATGCAACAAGCATATTAAACTAGTACCAATCATAGGCATCAACATACACAATACAAACATGAGGCGCAAGAAACATCAAAGCAGACTAGGTAGATAGGAATTGAAATGATAGAGCTTAAGGGCACATGGGTATAAATAATTGTTAAGATCTCATAGATTCTACCTAAAAATTCTCGATCATTAGCTTTTTTCATGAAAGGGCATAATAATTCCAAGGCAAGAAAAGCTTACAGTGATAGGAGAACCAGTATTGAGAACTCTTTGACCACGCACAAGGCCTTCAGTACCATCCATGGCAATAGTCCTAACCATATTCTCCCCCAAATGCTGGGCCACTTCCAACACCAACCTAATCGAATTATCCAAAACCTCCAAGGCCGTAAGAATCGGCGGCAATCCCTCACTGAACCTCACATCTACAACAGCACCGATCACCTGGCATACCTGTCCGATCGCTCCGGCTCCGGTGAACTCATCAGTGATCTTTCCAGTTTCAGATCCTTTAGCAGGAGCAGCAGGTGGTGGTTGAGATGGCGCTGCGGTGGCGGATGTGGCATAGTTGACTGCACGGTTAAGAAAGTAACCGGTAGGCGAAGGATGAGATTGGGATCGTGTGCGTGCAATTCTACTTGAGTGAGTAAACGGAGATCTAGAAGGAGATCGGTGAAGGGAGGAGCGGAGGAGGGAGGCTAGTAACCTCCGTGAAGCCATGGCGGATGGGAGTCACAGAGAGAATGAGACTAGGGATTGATAGTACGAGGACTGGTTCGTGATTTAAAACGACAACGAAATTTCATTTAAATAAGAAAACAAAAAGATCCGCTTGGAGCGTCCACCGAAGTTTTGGAGTTCCTGCTACAACCTCTTTTAGCCCCTTAACTTTTTTATTTAAGTTATGCATACTTAACTTTTTATAATATACATTTTAGCCCCTTAATTTTTTTATTTTAGTTATACATACTTAACTTCTATTAATTTATATTTTGATCCCTTAACTTTTTTATTTTATATATACACACTTAACTTTTTATAATTTATATTTTGGCCCCTTAACTTTTCTATTTTAGTTATACACACCTAACTTCTTGTAATTATATTTTGGTCCCTTAACTTTTCTATTTTAGCTATACACACTTAACTTTTTTTAATTTATATTTTGGCCCCTTAACTTTTCTATTTTAGTTATACACACTTAACTTTTTGTAATTTATATTTTGGCCCCTTAATTTTTCTATTTTAGCTATACACACTTAACTTCTTCTAATTTATATTTTAGCCCCTTAACTTTTCTATTTTAGTTATACACACCTAACTTTTTGTAATTTATATTTTGGCCCCTTAACTTTTCTATTTTAACTATACACACTTAACTTCTTCTAATTTATATTTTGGCCCCTTAACTTTTCTATTTTAGCTAAACACACTTAACTTCTTGTAATTTTTATTTTGGTCCCTTAACTTTCCTATTTTAGCTATACACACTTAACTTCTTGTAATTTATATTTTGGCCCTTTAACTTTTCTATTTTAGTTATACACACCTAACTTCTTGTAATTTATATTTTGGCCCCTTAACTTTTCTATTTTAGCTATACACACTTAACTTCTTATATTTATATTGTTTATTAATGCATATTACTTAAAATATATGATTACAAGTAAATAATGCATAAGTACAACTTATTAAAACTTCATACTTGAATTTGTGTAACTAACTACAATAAACAAAATCAAATACTGGATAAACATTTCATTTTAAATATAAAAATTCTAAAATATAATTAGGATAATCATTATCTTCTAACAGAATACTTAATTATTATATTTATAAAAATTATATTATTAAATCAAAAATATATTATTTTCTTATTAAACCTAAATTAAATTGTAATAAAAAAATTGAATTAAAGAAATTACACAACAAAAAAAGATTTTTTAAATAGTTAATTGGATACTAATATCGATATGTTTTTTTTTTAAATTTAAGATATCTTCAAATTTATATTTTATTCAAAAATAAAAACATTATCGTTTTTCTCAAAACCACATAAAACCGTATTATAACATCGACAGAGGGACAGAATAAAACGAAACATTAAAATCAAGATTTATCTCGATGCATTGCGCGATTACCCTTCTAGTATGTATTAATACACAGTACTTCATGCATAAAAAATAGTTTTCAAGAGTTTTTGTCAAATGTTTTATAATATAGTATAGATAATCGTTTTTATGATTTTTTGCATTGAATTTATACAAAATTTAATCAAAACAATAATCTTTCCAATTCATCATATTATTTTTAATATGAGATAAAATCTTTTAAGTATATTTTATATTTTTAATTTATACATAATTTTAATCATAGCATCGTATATATTACTTGATTATGAGTTTGACTCAATTTTGGTTGCAATAATCTATACTATATTATAAAGCATTTGACAAAAACTTTTAAAAATGATTTTTTTTTTGCACGAAGTACTGTTTAATGATGCATATTACTTAAAATTTAAGATTACAAGTAAATTGTGTAAAAATACAACTTATTAAAGCTTCATATTTGAATACGTCTAATTAACTGCAGATAAACATAATCAAATATTGGATAAACATCTCATTTTAAATATAAAAAATCTAATAATTAGGATAATCATTGATAGCTAACAGAATACTTAGTTATTATCTTTATAAAAAAAATTATATTATTAAACCTAAATTAAATTTCTTTGTTACTAAACCTAAATAAAATTATAATTAAAAAAATTTAATTAAAAAAATTACACCAAAACACAAGAACTTTTAAAAGATTAATTTAATACTGATATCGATATTTTTTTTTTTAAAATTTATGATATTTTTAAAATTTTATTTTATTCAAAAATAAAAACATTATCACTTTCTCAAAACTACATAAAACTAATGTTTACTTAAAATTCAAGATTACAAGTAAATTATGCAAAAGTACAACTTATTAAACCTCAATGTTTGAATTCGTATAACTAATTAATGATAAACATAATCAAATAGAGGGTAAACATCTTATTTTAAAATATAAAAAATCTAAAATATAATTAGAATAATTATCGAGTTCTAACAAAATAATTAATTATAATCGTTATAATAAAATTATATTATTAAACTAAATATAAATTATTTCGTTGTTGTACCTAAATTAAATTATAATAAAAAATTGAATTAAAAATTTACACAAAAAATGAGGAATTGTAAATAGTTAATTTGATACGAATATCGATATATTTTTGTTATGCATAAAGTACTGTATATTGATGCACATTACTTAAAATTCAAGATTACAAGTAAATTATGCATAAGTACAACTTATTAAAACTCGATATTTGAATTCGTATAACTAATTGCGGATAAACATAATCAAATAGAGGATAAACATTTCATTTTTAAATATAAAAATTCTAAAATATAATTATAATAATTATCGAGTTCTAACAAAATAAATAATTATTATCTTTAACAAAATAAATAATTATTATCTTGGTAAGAAAATTATATTATTAAACCATACTTCGTTATTGTACCTAAATTAAATTATTAAAAAATTTGAATTAAAAAATTATATAAAAAAATGAGGAATTTTAAATAGTTAATTTGATACTAATATCGATATATTTTTGTCAAATTCTTATGATATCTTCAAACTTATATTTTATTCAAAAATAAAAACATTATCGTTTTCTCAAAATCACATAAAATAAAGAATAAAATAAAATATTAAAATCAAGATTTATTTCGTTGCATTATGCGAGTACCCTTTTAATAAATTATAATATTATGATTCATAGCAATAATAAATTATATATATTATAAATCATAGTCAAAATAATTTATCTGTATATTCATAGTTAATTAATTTTAAAGTCATTTTATTTAAAAAGTTACATAATCTTTACTATATTATAAAACATTTGACTCAATATCTTAAAAACAACTTTCAAAGCATTATGTATTAATATCAAATACTAAATTACTTAATTTTCAAGTTTTCAAATTCTTAATGCTTTGGTACAACCTATTAAACATATCTCCTCATCCCTGATCTATCGACTTCCAACAGATCCTCAGATTTATCAGCTTCACTCATATCCTTTTATTAATCGATTGTTTCATCCATATCCTTTCGTCTATCTATTTCAATAGATTTAGATAATCTACATCAGGCAAATTGCTTCATCTATATCCTTCTATCGATTTCAGCAGGTTTAGATAACCGATCCATCAGATAATGATTCAACATATTTAGACGGGTATACATATCGTTTTTTATTTCTATCACATCCTCTACTCATATATATATTCGAAGCAGGTTCTTCAGGAATAGACAGATTTCAACCTTCCAAGGTTAGTTTCCTTCAATCTTTTGTTTGTTATTCAAGGTTCAATTACTAGGGTTAATTTTTGTGATGAAGCGTATGCATCAATGAAAAATGTTATTTTTTGTGACTACGGACATAATGAACAGGGGTTAGTACTCATATGACAGTGGAATTCATGCATTTCATCTATTCTCTTGATTCTTTTATCAATGCTACTTTACCACATGCTACTTCCTTTCTGTGCGTAAGTACAATTTATTAAACTTCATGTTTGAATTTACGTAACTAATAACATATACCCATAATCGTTATCAGATAAACATCTCATTTTAAATATAAAAAAAATCTAAAATATAATTAGAATAATCATTCTAGCAAAATACTTAAATATTATCTTTATAAAAAAATATATTATTAAACCAAAAATAAATTACTTTTTTTATCGAACCTAAATTAAGTTATAATAAAAACATTGAATTAAAAGAATTACACAAAAAAATAACTTTTAAATAGTTAATTTGATACGATATTGTTCAAAGTTTTATGATATCTTTAAATTTATATTTTATTTGAAAAAACATTATTGTTTTCTCAATACCACATAAAACCGTATTATAACATTGATAGAGACAAAAAAAATGAAACATTAAAATCAAGATGTATCTCGCTGCATTGAGCGAGTACTCTTCTAATAAAATATAATTTATACAAGCATTTGAGAAATTTTCCCATAAAATGATCGATCAACACATTAGAACTAAGCTTCTTTACCTCTGATTTGTTTATATCAGCCCCAGAATTACTGGAATCAACCAACATCATCCATCGTCGTTTCAATATCTACCGTGACACTTCTCTTGCAAGTGCAATTGGTCCTCAAAATCGTATGCATCATCGACTGAGTTATTGTTACTGTTATCATGTTTCTAATTAATAAGTCTTTAAATAACTTTAAAAACATAAAAATGAAAATTATAATATAACACAGATTTATATGAATACAATTTATCACAGTAACAAATATCAGATGTAATTTTTGGCTATAAATGTCTCTAATGAACACATTAAATTTTACAAAAAATGGTGTAAAGAACAATAAAAAAAATCCAAATTGATGTAATACTATCTATACTATATTATAAAGCATTTGACAAAAACTTTTAAAAACTATTTTTTATACATGAAGTACTGTTTATTGATGCTTATTACTTAAAATTCAAGAGTATAAGTAATTTTACATAAGTACAACTTATTAAAGTTTTTTTTAGATTCGTATAACTAACTGCAGATAAACATAATCAAATACATGATAAACATCAATTTTATACATAGAATATTTAAAATATAATTAAGATAATCATTGAGTTATAACAGAATGTTTAATTATTATTTTTATAAAAAATTATATTATTAAACCAAAAATAAATTACTTTGTTATTAAATCTAAATTGAATTGTAATAAAAAAAAATTGAATTAAAAAACTTATGCCAAAGAAACGAGAACTATTAAATAGTTAGTTTGATACTAATATCGATTTATTTATTTTTAAAATTTTATGCTATCTTCAAATTTATTTCTCATTCAAAAATAAAAACATTATCGATTTCTCAAAACTGCATAAAATCGTATTATATCGATAGAGATAAAGATTAAAAAACTAAACATTAAAATTGAAATTTATCTCGCTGCATTGCACGAGTACCCTTCTAGTTCATTTGTCGTGTATTTGATGTTAAAGTTTTAAAAGGACAAATTAATAGATTTATTTATTTTTATTTCATTGTATTGTATAATGACAATTTAAAATTTTACTTGTGACACATAATATTACAAATTAGATTATATTCATCTTTTAGTTTTAATAAATTTAAATTTTATGTATTCAACTCATAAATTCATGATTGTTTGTTACTAATTTAAAACCCGATAACATATTTAATTAAAACACATATACGAAAATATAACCAACGAAAAAGATGTAAAAATATGCATAATTGACAACTTTATCAACGTGTTGAAGTATTTCAACATCTTCTCCAATCTTGTTCGTTATCGTTGGTGATTTTAGTGCCGTTAGACATTTTGGTATAGTTATAGAAAGGATCTAAGAACTTATGCTAATGCTCGACCTAGAATCTTTATCTATCTCAACTATAGAAAGGCATTCTGTTTTGCAGAAGCCCGATTCAATAAGCAAGTCAAAAGTGAGGAGAGTTAACAGTTATTGTCTGAAATCGGGCATTGAGTTAGAGAGTGTCCAAATTTGAAAAGAAGCATGAGACAGAAGTCGCCTTATTGTTCACTGGAATGATGAGGCTATCTTGGGAATTGGGGTGAGTCTTTTGACGCAAGCTGGGTCATTTCCTCGAGATTTGTTGTATGGTCAGGGAAATGACATTTGTTAAGGGGTTTGGTTTAGTATGCATATGTTCGGAATCAACTTCATTTATGGCGTCTGCTTACGGTGGAGTCAGTTCTAATCGGCAGTTGATGGGAGCATATGACAAATCGGTTTAGGTCTGTTAAGCTCACTGTTGTGTCTATAAGGCTCGTTTGTAAAATAACGTTCTTTTTCCATATTTTGGTGGCAATAAAGGTATGTGTTGGTTTTGGTTTAGTATTCTAATAATTGAGTTTACAGGACTCGCTTGTGGGATGTCAAGATTTCGAGTAGTACTGATGTGTGCCAGTTTGCTTGATACACTCGTTAGTGTGTCTATGAGACTCGTTGATGAGATAATGGGATTTGGATCATGATACTCATGGTTGTGTCTTCTCAAATGTGTTTTTGGGCTGATGTTGTATCTTCATCGAGGTGGAGCATCGAGTACAACTTTAGCTTTGGGTTAGACTCATGGTAGAGCTCAGTTCTTCCTTTAATGGCTCGACATGTGCGGTGCCAAATGTGGGGGTGGTGCCCACATTTGACCTGATGCTTACACATGTAATCCAGGAGTTGGTGACTCCATTTAGAGGATTGGTTCCTCGTTTAGGTGGTATGTCATATCCGTCGGTGATACTTGGATTAATGTGGAGTGTCTGGTTAGACAGCTGATTTCTATGTAGATTTTGGTTTGTGGATGAGAGAAAGTATCTTCTGATGAGACCTATTTTAGGGCATAATTTATGCGGTTCTGGTAAATCATGTTGGCTCTATCGTTGACAAGTGATGACAAAGTCGAAGTTCATTAGCATGTGAGCAATTTGGTTGTTCGTATCTTGGAGTTGTGTGTGTCGAGTGTCAAAGTGGAGTGTTAAAATATGCAACACACAACACCCCTGAACGAAGGAGGAGGATGCACAATGTAGGATGTGACCCAAGGTCGCATTTCATGGAGGTGAACTCTCGGTACAGTTTAGGGGATTTGTAAGCGACCTCCAAGTCGCATGTGAGATCGTATTTGGCCTCCAAACGAGATAAATAAGGGTTCAGGGTTCAGGACAAACACTTCGAGCGATATCTCCATCTCTAATTTCCAAGTACAAGGGTGATTTAACTTGCATTTGTGGATTATAACCATGTGAGTAATACTTTCATGTAACCTATGTATACATTTGGGTTCTATTTGGAGCACGTACACAGTTTAAGTCCGTTGAACCTCGTTATATGCATGTGTCGCTACTTTGGTTGCTTGTCATTATCGTCATATATTATTTGTTGATCTGTTTTGTTTACACATTCGATTGTTGGACGATTTGCATACTTTTGACTTAGCTTTTAGGGACCTTGTGCATTTTGACTACAAAAACCAAACCAACACAAGCAACCACTTTTTTTGGTTTAGTTCGTAATTTGAAGGTCTTTTAAGCTTTTTAGACTTCCATGTACATTTTCAGTTGTATAACTCATGAATACACTATTATTATTTTTTCAAAAGCCACAAACATTTGGGTTCAAATTTCCATCAATTTGTGAAGTACCATTAAAATTCAAAATTCATGAAAATTATCACAAAATACCATCCCATATTAGAGGTGCTTATGAGTTAGGTTGATTGAGTTGAACACATTTGAACAATCCATCCAATATTGACGGTTCAAAAAATTTCAACGCAACTCAATCCAAACAAAAGTGCAACCCAACCCAACCCATTCGGTTTGGTCGAGTTGTGTTTAAACAAAGTAAAATAAACATTGGGAACATAAAAGTAAATAAATCTTCTTTTGAAATACGATCAATCATTCAAGAGAACAAACAAGACCAAGTCGTTTTTGTAACGTATATTGTTAAAGAGATGCAAATAATTTTAGAGAAGTTGCTAAAACTTTCATCGAATTATCAGGTTAGTCGGGTTACTTTTGTATCAATTATATGGCAAGTTACCTCTGGTAGCTTTTTTTGTCGGGTTCTTTTGAGTTGGATTGACCGGGTTGGTCGGATTGAACGGTTTTTTGGACACCCCTATCCCACATGCCAAATACCATAAAAATTGTTTGAGATTATTTTACAAGGATACCAACCTCCTAACCCGTTTAAGCTAAAACTGCAATTATTTCCTACCATCCTTCCACGAAGCGTCAATCTGACCATCTTTTTTTGGTACATTCTCAAATCAAACGTCGTATACCCAGAAACCGGATACATTAGAACCTACTTGTTCATCAGGGTTCAAAACAAATTATCGTCGAAAAAAATGCCCAAAACTATGAAATCTGAGGGAACCAAATCTATACATTCCGCAATATCATATATCATGATGCATATCTGTGTATGTCAAAAAGAAGTGAGAAAGGGACCTCAATTCAAACAGGACAATTTTGACTTGTTTCTGCACCAGTAACTTAAACCATCAGCTCCAGCTTCTTCTTGGCCTGAAATATTTCCGGAACAAAATCATTATAAAAAAATTTCCAACTTCCATTTCTTCCCTTTAATCTTTCTTTCTTGGGTTAAATGTATAATATATCTATTTTGACATTTGATTTTTCGCCTAATAATTATACGATCTTTAAAAGTTGGGGTTTGTGGAAATACTTCCGGTTCTTCTGCTGTGAGCGCCAAAAGCAAGCGAGTGCGCCAAACAAACAGCTAGCCACTGCAATTGCAAGAGCAGCCCCCACAGGTACGACAAGTGCGTTTGTTGACTGAATCATATCTTCTGAAACTGCGTTAGTCTTTTTCTGAGTGTGGCTGAGAATCTCCTTGTCCTTCTCCTTGTACAGGGACACAAGCGTCTTTCCGTAGTAGTTGCCTAAGAACTTGAAGACCTCATCAAGATCCCAATCGATTGAGCTGCTTTCTTCATTCTGATTTTGGGAGGCATAACAAGTTGGACAGAGGCGTTTTGAAGGCCAGATTGCTTTTGGGAATTTGGGATCGCCGGTTTCGAGAGATGCTTCTTCTTTCTTTAGCCTCTTGTTGACTTCATTATGTGTGGTCCATAACCAGAGGACAAAGTCCCGTGTGCTGCTGAACGGTGTAGAGACCCTGCAATGCATTCAAATAGATCATATTTGATAACCAAACTGGAAAAGTAAATCCCACTCGAAAGTAGGGTTTTTTTTTTTTTTTTTTGGGGGGGGGGTGTTGTGGATTTAGTCATGGGTTAGGGGGTGCCTGTGCCCCAACTCTACTATCCCGACACACTGAAAAAAAAATTAGGGATCTTAAAGGTGCATCCAATTTAATTCGATATGTGCTCCCTTGAGTTAACAAATAATGGCTGCTGCAATCTACGGGTAGTGTAATACATAGGCATTACAGCTTGCAAGCTCAAATCTCTTTGCCTCCTTTCTTAAGTTTTGGTAACAGCATCACTGCCCCAGAATAGAATAATAAAACACTTGTATGCCATTTTCAATTAAACTGTACTTTTTAAAATTTATATTATATTATTTTATAGTATGTTGATTATTTTGTGCCACTCGAAAATTTTCAGAATGTTTGAGATGTATGCGGACCTAACCTCTACCTCAAAGAGTAGAGCGGTTGTTTCTATGAAAATCCCCAACTTGTGCAAAAAGTGAGAAAAATAGACCATATGTGATAGGATAACAATAACAAACACCCGGAGTAAAAAGGAAGTTTGTGAAAGAAGCTTCAGCAACTTCTTTTTTTTACCTTGAGCACATACTGTGGAAATGTTGACGACACTCCTCACAGATGAAAAACTGGTGGATGAAATCGCAAGTGGTCGTAAATGCCATCTGACTCTCTCCATCTTCCACTCTCACGGAGAGTGAATGTAACAGAACCCATAAACCACAACTGAGATGTCACAAAAATTTGTTAATATTCTTTTCCTGGACAAGTTCAATAAAATGTTTGGTCCTTAGGTTGGCACAGCTTTGAAACACATCATCAAATTTCTTGCAGGTTCATCTAAGTGGCTTTACGTAAATGATGCTCCTTCCATCCCAAAAGAATTGCGACATTTTCTGTTTGGATGTCCAGCAATAATTGCAGTGATCCCTATTTGGAAAGCTTTCAAGTAGAATTACCTATTTGTCTCGATAGCCATCTGATTTAGGTAATTATGAATCACTTTGGTTATTTCAAGTTCAAATGAGAACCATAAATATTTTGAGAATCTCAGGAATCAACTATTTTTATGTAGTATTCATGATGAATAGCCCTAAATATTCATATATATTATTCATCATGAATATCATTCATTATATCTTGCCCTTTTGACAGGAATATCATGCATTTTCATTATGAATAATTTTCATGATGAATATTTATCACAATTTTTCATGAATAATACATGTATAGTTGGTTCCCAGATTCTCAAAATATTTACAGTTCTCTTTTGAACCTTCCCCTTCACTAATAATCAGCTATTTCTCAGAATTTCTAGAGTCAGATGCAGTGATTCAAATGGCATGAGTACAAACTTAATTTGTCGCAATTAAACGTGCTGGCCTCAGTTTATGCATCCACCTCAGTTTGATGCAAATAAGTTCTGAAGTCATATGGATTCAAATACCTGAAGCCCCTGGTATCATTCTTGCTGCCGCGACAGAACATCTACATAAGAAATCCCAGAGCAAGGGTATTAATTTATAATATCTTCCATCAATCAAAAGTATTGTATGAAAAGGAGACCACTTTAAAAACATTCAACACATGGATAAAGCTAAACTCATAGCAGTGTAAGTGTATGAAAGCCATCCTTTACAATAGAAAAGTAAGCAAAAAATTTACCCAATATCCACGAGGAACTTCTTTTCCACATATGTTAAATTTACCCTGAAGACCATGTCTAGTGCCATTTTCATATTCATGTTTGCTTGCCGACCACATACGTGAAGGGTACAAATCGTCAAAGCTAACGAGTATATCAGCACTTCCCATACGACACCTAAAATGTCCAGACTCCAAGTTAAGTAAGTAGAATCATTGAACATCAAGTATGAAATGAAGAAAGGTGGATTCAACCTCCTCGAAGGATGATGAGCCACCATTAGTTGCATGAATTTTATAAGTGTAGCTCGAGTATCCGGTTTAATCATCTGTAAAGAAATGAACACAAAAAGTACATGCAATCAGAGGTCTAGGTGGCCAGGCAATAATGATCATAAAGAGTAACATACATTTACCTTGTGTTCCATAATGATGTCAAAGGCAACGGACGTGGACTCTTCAACATCATATACAGCACGTGCAATCTAACTCACGCCACAAATTTCCAAAAGTTAATAACTTGCCTAAAGCTTTAATAGTACAAAATGTTTTTTTTGAAGTACTAGCACTATAGTAAATACGACAAGTTACATATTGAACAAGTGTGTTTAAGTGGTAAATACTCTTGCAGATTAATTATTAACAAAGATTGCTTTCGAACAAACCTGTCCAGGGTCTGAGACGTTTGATTGTAGGAGAGCATCATTCTTATATTTCTCATCTTCAAAGCTATACGAGCTATATAGAAAAGCAAAACATAGAGTCAAAAGCTTAACGGAAGATGCAGTTGCTCACTAATGGTGTGTATCCACATTCTTTTTCGAACAATAAACACAAAGAAGTAACGCATTTTTATCTCAACATGCATGATGTAACACAAAAAATGGGTGTTGTATGCAAAGTCACATACTTGGTTTCTAATTTACCATCTGTCTGTCTAAGTATCTCTACACATATGTAATGGGAGACCAATTGAGATGCATGACGTAGTAACTACAAGCTAACACATGAGTAACAGGACAGATTTTCTCTATAATGAAAAGGAAAGAATGACACTTGTTGCCTCTATTACATGTTCTTTCAACCCATGTTGAGAGGACAATGTCTCCATGCTGGGAAATAAAGGAGGAAAAATAACTCATGCTCTTTGTTTTTATAATTATCTATTCTTTAACTAAATCTACGCAAAACCATCAAGTTCATTTTTCCTTTTCAAATTGAATGCAACTATGGGGAAAAAGGATGTGTTTAGACACTCGTGTTTTACAAAAGAAAATCTCTGGTGAGTTATTAGTAACTTGGATGGTTGCTATAAGTTTCCCCTCACGATTGTATCACATGTTATGTTCCCCACCATACATATTCCCTCTGTATTCACGAGTCTCTTCTCAAATAATCAACTCACACGGCAGAACTAGCATGGTATTATTGTGATACAAACACACCAAAATCAAGCAGACATATAAATATTCATATTGAAGTTAATCATGTGGAGAACTTAACCAACCTCCATTTGCTGTTGGAATTGAGAGTCTCATACAGTGAATGGTATCAATAAAGAGAATGTAATTCCCACTTAGAGATAGCATGTAAAATATCAGCGGCTAAACATACCTTCCCAATCGTGTGTTAATCCATTTGAGCAAACGATCAGCAGTTCTTCCATCATCAATAGGGTGAATTTCACTTTTTTCACTTTTCCCATCCCAACCGCCACCAACAAATTTAGACGGGGGTCCCCAAAAGAGCGATGGGTAGTGACTAATAGAGAACTTATCACAGAGATTAATATTTACCTGTGCTGCCAAACATGGATAAAAGAAGAATTTGTTGCTTAGTCATAACATAATAAAAGGGACTAAAACCATGTCAAACCTGGAAAAGAAAGGGAAATGGTAATCATGACAAGGGAGAAGGGGGATATATTAGATTGCCACAACAATAAGCAAACAAGAAATACCAGAGAAGACACAGGTAAGGTACATGCACGCGCATATCTGTATGGCAGTGAAACCTTTTTATTGTTCCAATTATTTTGCTAAAAAATATCGTCTCCTGTTTATCTGGAGCTATGCCCCTTCAACAAAGATAATAGGGTGTGCAAATGAAAACCAAAAAAAGAACAAACAGTGACAAGCGTCTTAACCAAATTACTGGTTTATCAGTACAGTTTGAATTTCAATAATTACTGAAACTGCGTCCCTGGTCCATTTTCAGTTTTTAGATTTATGTTCTGATTACAACATTGAACCATACAGCAATTTCCGTTATAACAACGTGTCATGCCCATTGACCATTTCGGCATTTACTTCTAATGCTTTCTCTGTTTTGAAGTTCTAATTCCTAATGCTAATGTTGTTACTTTAACAGAGCTTCTCTTCATGCCACCATAGTCATAACTTTATGGTTTGTACTTTGCAATACTGACTCCTTATTAGAATTTACAGCTTTTTGTAGGTTATGGATTGACTAAAACAAATGAAATGGAAGTTAACGGAACAATTTGGACTGTGCTTTTGTTTAAAAAGCATACAAAACAAATCTCGTTCACCCCTGAAAACAATAATAAAAACCACTGCAACGTATATCATCTTAACTAGGGACATTTGTTTACAACTTATGAGCGTATGATATGCGAGACATGGTCAATGTCACATGATAGGTATTTTGCGTTAACCAAACATGCGACCTTAGCACCTTGCTTGTTTTGTGGATGCTTGGTCAACTTAAACCGCTCTTGAAACAGTATGGCACACAAGATTTGTAAAAGAGACTTGAGTTCTACATAGGTTCTTGAATGTTTTTTGGATTGATCATTGATCATGGATGTTTACAAGTAAGCGAACCTTCTTCTTTATATAGGGGTCTCCACCACCTCAACAGAGACTTGAGTTCTACATAGGTTCTTGAATGTTTTTTGGATTGATCATTGATCATGGATGTTTACAAGTAAGCGAACCTTCTTCTTTATATAGGGGTCTCCACCACCTCAACAGAGAATTATACATACAAAACTATTCTAAAACTAGGGGCCTTTTAGGCACAAAAACTTCTAGGTTTGACTACATAATATATATGACTTGTACGTATCAAGATGATTCTAGATAATGTTACTAGATACAAGAATATCCTAGACTATTCTGTAGAACACAAAATTTTCCTGAAGAATTATTGAAAGTCATGGAGTCTTCCTTGAAAAATGTTTGTTGGCAAATCCAGTTAGCACCAACAGGGCTTCCACTGGGTCTGTCGGTGGCACAACCCGACCCAAACTAGGCAATTCATGACAATAAGCTTGATAACGTATGACTGCATACCCTCTCACCGGTAAGATGCAATAGTAACAGGTACGATGTATATCTCCTTTTTTAAATTAATTATAAATGAACACTTAATTCTCAAAAAAACAATGCAGATGTTTTAGACACTAATAGAAAATAAAATTAAAATTAACAAAAAGATGCAAGTTTCATCTTTTATAAGAACTCGCATATGTGGAAGAAAGAACAAGCTAAAATAAAGCTTCTTCAGACAGAGGATTGGTGAATATCACTTCCATTAAACACATTAATTTTTCTACATAAAGCCTTTTACGGTAATTCAAATTTCAAAGTACTAAAACTTATCTACTATAGTTCACTTCTATTATAACACTCCTATACCACCCCAAAAATAATATTAGTAAGATCCTAAGAATAAGAATCAGCATCATCCTCAAGGGAATTGCAATGAGATCAACTTCAAAGAGGAATGAGCAGCAGGAAAAGTCCTGGCATGATAATCACATCATCACCAAAAAGAATTATCAGGGGTGATAGACTTAAGCATGAAATCTAGGATACGTTACTAAGGTCTACATGTATGAACCAAACTAGTAGGTCCCTTTTGTACCTTTCCTGTTTTCCTCAATCCATAGACCACAGGATGGATACACAGCATGACAAATTCCAAGATTTAGCTGGTAGCCACAAAACCCATCTCTGTTATATTATATTTTGTACAAGAAGCAATCGTTATCCCCTCATGAGTCAGCAAGCCCATGATGATGTCAAGTCGTGCATTATATAGTATAAGCTTCTTGTCAGCAATTATCTTTGACGTTAATTCTAAAGTCACCGGAAAAATCCAATCATGTAAGTAGTTTGTAATTAAGAGCTTGTCCTTTTGTGTGAGTGTTTCGTTATGAAAAGTTCCATGATTTAGCCAGTATCCACAAAACCCGATCTCCAGTACATTAGTATCTTGACCTATAAGCTCCACCTTTAGTATGAGTGTCGCGTAATCACAAGCTTGATGTCATGAGCTTGCCCAGCCAAACACGTCATATCTATTACATGTGTATCTCGTCTATTTGTTTAAAGTTTCTTAGTTCTTAAATGTCCAATTGAATCTCAATTCATGTTCCTTAATCAAAGATCACAGGTTTCCCAATTTTAGTAGCAAGCACCTACCCATGCTCCATTTACAGTTTCAGTTGTTTCAAGTGCCAAACCAACAAACTTACAAAAGGTAAACATCATAAATTATGGAACACCAATTTTCATCACTAGTTGCTGTCTTGAGTTAAAGTCATATAACACTGATTGCATATTGCAATCAATTTGTACATACATAAGGTTGTTCATTGATCCTATGATTTGGCCTGAGTCTTCCACATAGCAACATAAAATGAGGACATCACTTTCAAAAGGAAGAATGAAAAAATGTAACTAACATTACCTTATTCGCACAGTCAACTCGGGTCATCAATATAACCCCCGGATGTATAGCATTGGCTCCATTAAAAAGCCTAGCAACCTTTTCATACTGGGGCTGCAAAATTAAAACTAAAATGATAAGTAGTGCAACAAACACATGCATAGCCATTGTGAATAAAAAACACAGATACCTTATAATTTCTGCAAGCCGGGCACCTGCAAAGAGTAACAACCACAACAAATTAGGGTTATATAATGGATATTCGGGAACCCAATTTTCATAAAGTCAAAACAGATATAGCATGTATCCACTCGAAGAGGATATGGACACTGATATGGTGGTCATATGGGTTGAGAAGGCCAAATCCAAGAACTAGTATATATTTTATTTCGTTAAAACATAATATCAAACTTGAACTCATGCATCAAATCAGATGTGGAGAATGCATATTAGAAAAGAAAAAACTGAAAATGGTTTTCCACAAATTACTTCTATAGACTCAGCACTGCTTGCATAACAACATATCTGCTCCACAGCAGATCTGTTTACAAGAGGTTTCTCCTCCTATACACAAGGCTACCAGCATCAACCAGAATATTAGAGAGATAATTGCTTTCTACTACTTCAGATTCACAATAAAGTATAGACACTTCTACAAGATCAAAAGAAAAATCATTTAATACAAGTATGGCAGCCCTATAGCTCTATCAGTAACTGACATTCCATTGGGTCACCTACAAATTGTCCCCAACATTTTATCAACACCCCTATAGAAGACATACATTTTGACTTCAGCCAACAACATGGTTTTCCAGAAAAGGCTTTCGACAAACTCATACAATTTTGCATTACAAATTTAACCAGACAACCATAGGTTTTGAAGTTGAATTACACTGCAACTGCAGCTCCAAAAAATAGGGCCTTTTTAAGCATAAAAAGTCAGATGTATTTCCTTTTTAAGGTTTAGACATCCTACAAATTCATGGTATGGCATGCCTCTTCATCTTTGTTCTTTTTTCTTTTTACTGCAACCACATCTGGGTGGGACCTTCTACCTCCATCCTTCCCAAACAGAGAGAACTTTTGATTTCTGATATTCTAGATCTTTTAAAGAAAAATCAATAGATGAATTAAAATTTACATTAAGTAAACAAATATAATTGTGACAATAAATTTGTAACAAAATCCACTTCAATTTTGCATTACTAAGTTCTCCAAATTCTAAATCGCTATAACAGAGGTTCTCAGTTTTGATCTTTATGCTTTCTCTTTCCATATGTTCACGGTACAGAGGAAAAGAACAGAGTTAAGCACAACTTCACAGTGAAAGAAACCAAAATCTTCAGCAAAGTCCGCCATAAAGCAGTAAGATCTAACCTAATATGCCCTAAATATGAACAAGAAAGAGGTTTTAAACCGACCAGTGAGCGAAGAACTCCACAATGGCATAAGTAGCGGGGGTATCCTTTAAAACTGCATCGAAGTTGGTGACGTTCAAATCGACAGCAAAATCAGGCTGATCTCCACCACCGTTGATGGCACGTAGGAGTGATCTAGATCCCGCCGCCGGATTAATCAGCAAAGCTGATGATATCAAGGATAATGACATGAAGCTCCATAGAAGCAAGGTCAAAAGCTTAAATACTGAAGACATGGAAGGAGAGAATGGTTGCAGATAAATCGGAGTTGTGCAACGGCGAAACAGATTGACCGGCGGCGAAACGTAATTCCGGTTGAAAATGGGAAGTCTGTCCAAAGACTCGAAGTACATGGTGTTTGGAGGAAATAAATATATTCAAATATTTTATTTATTTTTATTTTAATAAAAAAAATTGTGTAATTCACAAAATTCTGTGTTTCAAGAATTCAATGTTTATAATTTTTAGGTTGGATTATAATATCTTTGGATTTTAAGGGGGTGTTTGGGATTGTTTATAAAAATAATTTATTGATTTATTTTGATGTGACATCCGTAATAAATATTTTTGAATATTTGGATAAACAATTTATACCGGTATAAAAAAGCATAAGTTGTTTCAAATAAGCAATCTCAAACAATCTCTTAATTGATTTTAGTAATTTCTTATTCAATTTCGAATAATGTTTTAATATTAAGTGAATTTTGTATGTTATTTTTATTATAATAAAATATATTTTTGGTTGTTTTATTACAAGATTTTTATTTAATATATGATAGATTTTTTGTGTTTCGCTTTATTTATTGGTAAAGATGTAATAGAGATTCCAAAGGGATTAGAGTGACCGGATCAATACATCTCGATCGGAAAAGAATCGGAATTGATCGATATATTTCTCGAAACAAACGATAGATGAAACATAAATCATAGATCAACTAAGCCATCTCGGAAACTTTCTTAAGAATAAGAAAGAAAAACCTCATTCAAATACTATGGAATAAGGTTTGATCCTATTCATGGAGATTCCATGAATATTCCATTCCAAAAATGGAAATATTTGGGATTTTTTTAGAAATTGGATGCAGTTACTAATTCATGATTGAAATAAGAAAAAAAGAGTAATATCTATACCTAAATATTAATTTGAATTACCATGAATCTCAATGACCAAGAATTGTCAATTGACACGATAAGTACCTATATACAGAAGTTTGCAAAAAGATTTCCTTTTATGAATTATGCAATTAATTTCAAATAAGTCGTGTCTTGCTCAGACAAATAAATAGAGTTGAGGTTATAGTTAAAGCTGTTAGTAGAAAACCGAAATAAACCAACGAGACATGAATGGACAATATATGACATAATATAAATTTATTATCCACGTTTAGTGCAAATATTAGAGACAATAGGTTGAGTTGGACAATTGCATAACAAAAATTAGGCCGGCTAGTATTTGTCAGCATCATCGATATTGGCAGGAGTTCAAACGAGAAGCCTTGTGATTTTTATGATAATGCGAGAATTCTAGTTGTGGGCCTCTAACTTTTTTTTACCAATATAAAGGATAAAAAAAAATCAGTATGGGTAGTAATATAATTAGTTATTTCTTTTAATTTATATGTTATTTTAATTAATTATAATTATCCCATGATTTTAGATTGGAATCTGATCACGTAGAACCTCACGTCCCCATTGTTTTCTGTATTTGAAGATTCGATCTTTGTGATATTCGAAGGCGTTTTATCGTGTGATGAACTTGTTGTGATAATTGTGTGTGTTTTGTAGTCGAATGTGATGTGGTAATTATGATAAGCAAGACTGTTGTGATAATTGATTCTATCGTGTGATTAATCGGTGTGATAAAGGATATGTAGTGATAATCTTGAGAAATCGAATGCGATAATCAACATTGTTGTGACAATCGTTCCTATTATGTGATTAATCGGTATGATAAACATGTGATAAAGGAATGTGCAGTGACAATCTTGTGAAAACGAATATGATAATTATGATAAGTAACACTGATGTGATAATCGATTCTATCATGTGATTAGTCAGCGTGATAAAGGAACGTGCAGTGATAATCTTATGGAATCGAATGTGATAATTGTGATAATCAACATTGTTGCGGTAATCGTTTCTTTCGCGTGATTAATCGGTGTGATAAAATGTGCAATGACAATTTTGTGAAATTTAATGTGATAATCGATGTGACACCCCCAAAAGGGGGTCAATAAATAAATATGAAAAAAATCAAAAAAAAATTTATTTTCATGGGCCAAAAATGTAAAGAAAACGTGAAAAGGGGTCAATCATGTTATTTAATGAAAGTGAGAAGTGAAAAGAAAATAGCTTATGTTCAATTGGATTAAAAATGAAAGAAAACATCTGATTGAAGGTGAAAAGTGTAAAGTTGGCCAAAGTATTGAAGCCAGGGGGCCGAATGTCATTTTATGAAAGTTTATGGGCATAGTCAGATAGTGAATTCCTCATACATAAGGGACCTGTTATGACAAAATGGCATATCTGATTAACTTTAGAAATTTAAAACGACAGCACCTTTGAAGCTTCCTATTGATTCGAAATTTCAACTATTAAGATAAAAAAAAGTTTCACATATATGTAGTCAACACTTTCCTCTACATTTTTGGTTCAAGAAAACCGAAGTTTTGTCGAGTTTGGAAAGAGAAATTGGAGGTTGAAGTTCAAATTCAAAAAGCTTCGTTTATTACGATTGGAGGTAAAATACTCAATCAAATTTCAAGTTCTCTATATGGTTAACTTCATTTTTAGGTTCTCTATGGAACCTTAGTAGTCTTATGTCTCAGATTTTAATTTTGAAGGTCCGGTTTTGCGTTTTTACTGATTTTCGGGTGTATTTAGAACCTGAACTTTAAATGAGTAAATGAGACTCGACGGGAACCGGGGCCAGGGCCGGGGGGTGTTACTACAAATGGGGTCGGGGATTATAAAACCCTCCTCGTCCCCGCCTCGTTGCCGTACCTATGCGACATCACTTGCGCTAGGTCATAAACCCGAACTCGGGTCATATCTGGTGCGGTTTCGAGCCAGGGCTTGGGTCCATATCTGATGTATCTTAAGCTAACTATTGTTGGGCTTTTGTTTTATTATGGGCCATCAGATTTTATTAAGTGTGCGTTTGGTTTGCAGGAATGGAATGGAATTGGGGGGATTTTGATTTGAAATCCATTTCATTCACATGTTTGGTTTGTTGGATTGTAAGGATTTGAAATCCAAGGATTCCTTTGAAATCCCTTAAATGATGGATTTGGAAATCCTTTGGAGATGGGTGGTATTTCAAATCCAAGTACGGTCAGATTTCTCTTCCTGCCCTAATTTAGGAATCACGCTCACTGAACCCTGAACAAAATCGACGCCATCAATGCCCCCTCCTCCCTTGTCCTTCTCACCGACGCCATAGTTGTCATCCTCCCTTCTCACCGGTGCCCTTTTCACCGGTGATTTGACGCCTGCTGCTCATCTAGCAACAGGTTCTGAGGTTTAAGATCAAGGTGGACGACGTCGTTTTGGTGGCAGAAATTGAGGAGGGAGACGTTCATGGACAAGTCGAGGCTTCATGGTTAAGTCGAGGCTTCATGGTTGGATCTGCTATGGTGGGTTTCTCGATAACCTTGACAGCAACGGATGAATCGTCGATGAAAGAACGACCATGGTAGACTTTCGCCAAACTGCCAGGACCCAAAAGGTTGTGCTGCCATCACTGGCGGTTTTGTTGATGATGGTTGTTGTAGATGGCGGTGCCATGGCTAGAAGGAATAAAATGAACAGCCAAAAGAGAAAGAGAAAGAGAGAAACCAAACATGATTTATAATCAAATCCATTCCAAATCCTACAAACCAAACACAATAAAAGATGTTAAATCCAATCCAATCCAATCCAAATCCCTCAAAAACAATCCCGCAAACGAGACGCACTCTTAGAGTTTTTGACTAAATTTTTTTCCAAATTAATTAAAAGGGTGCAATTTAATTGGTTATTTAGTTGGACTTATATTTATTAAGTTTGGGCATAAATTAATTAATTATTTTCATATTACATTAAGATACAATTATGTTGATTAATTAACTTAGCTTATAAATTAATTAATATATTAATTTGTTTTAGAATACCCATTAATTAATTATATCATAAGGAGGTGTGTATGCAATTATTTAATTCAAATGATGGATTTTAAACATTGTATTTTAGTTAAATATTATTGAGACGCTTTAACGTAGAGCAAATGATTCCTTTAGTGATTAAAATGATAAAGTGACATTAAGAGTAGTTATCGAGTGTGGTACCGAAAGTTTTATTAAATTGTCTCGACGATTTTAAGAACGGGATTAAAACATCGTATTTTGAGTTAAACATTTTAACAGGGTGCTTTAATTTAGAGAGATGAAATTATAAGATATTGAAACGTTTTTTCAGGATGTCATCGAGTTTTAGACTTGGGGCTTGACTAAAATTAGTCGGGGTTTTGATTTTTGACCTATGTGGATTCTAATGATGAGTCAAATAGAGTTGTTTAATGCATATTAAGATGCCCAGATATGAAGTTTGATGTTAGGTCGTGTCGGATTGACCACAATTGACTTTAGAGAAATTAAATCTTTAATGAAATATTATGGTACGAAATGTCTAGATATTTGGTCTAGAGCTATAAGTAGTCGATCTACTCGCAATCAGGTGAGTCTTCATGAGACTTACAATGAGATGCATACATACGTACAAATTTATTTTCAAACATTATAATGTTTCAATTTACATACATGATATATTATATTTTATATGTATGTTATTTTACAATTAGTTGCATGTTATGTGTTTATTTTGTTTTCAAACAACTCTAGTGTGCTATTTCATATGAAAGTTTTATGATTAGTTTTAGCGGGTGGCCATTTGACTAGTAAGTCAATGACAAGTGGCACGACCCCATAATGTTTTTGGCCGAAGCTTATAATTCTCGTTGTTACATTTACCACAATTTTGATACATGGAGATATTCCATTTCCCTTTTGTCCTAAGATTTAAATTTATATTTCAACTGAATTCATGAAATTCAGTTAGGGATATTTACAATCTGATATAAGAAGGCTCTGGGTGTATGCACCTACGCTACTGTTTGGCAACCAAAAAAAAAAAAAGCCCGCCTCTTGATGGTTCTAAAGCCCTCTGAATGATTTTATATCTTAGATCCCTCTACACCATTACATGCCCAAATTTCATTATAAACAATTACCAAACGACCATGTTTCATTTTACACTATATCATAAAAGCCTCTTTGATCATTCTGACCATTTAATCATCCTGCACCAAACCATTCAGCAACTGTCAAACAGACTCTTAATGAAAACATACTTCTGTTTTATTTTGATAGTATGTTAATTATTTTGTTCACCGGTATGAAAAAAAAAAAGATTTGCCTTTCGCCTTTGCATAAAATCATGGTTTAGCAATTGGTTTTTCATAAGACTCGTTTACGTAAATAACCTTAAATAAGATCTTTCGTGTTTTGCTTCATTACCTTTGTAGATATTAAATGTACATATGAAAACCATATAATTTATACAAAGTACAGAATTATCTTCAGGCTGCTTCATTTTCCGATAATCGGCCATAAAAATACGTGTTTAAGATGCTAGACATCGATTTAATGTTGAAGGGTGCTCGTTTCTGGCTAGCAGGCCAAGGACCACGACTTGACCGGCGGGTGCACCACACACACCAACCATCGTTTCTTAAATTATTCGGTGCGGGTGGCTCAAGCCGCATGCCAAGACGGATCAGCGAACACGAGTGACGTGTGGCAAAGGAGTCATGCCTGCTTCTCCCTCATCGGAAGAAGAAAGGGTTGACGTTGATGCATTAGAAGCCTATAACGGTCAAAGCCAAAACGTAAATAGATCATTAATCAGTTTGACAAAAACAACCATAGTTGAATGATCGGACAAACGTTTGCTTCAAAATTTACTAAAAGTGTTGGGCCAAAATGAAAATCTCCGGGTTATCGGCTGAGATAATACTTGCTTCGATAAAACCAAACCAGTATATCTCACACATTGGTGGGCTCTAGGAAGAATTCTTGAATTCCGTTAAGAACCGTCTTACCTCCATCCCAAAATAAATGTCCACAATGAAAAAAGGCACACAGTTCTAGAAATGTGTAACTATTACACTTTTCAATCAACTAAACGACAATTTTACCCTTGATAACAGAGTAACCGAAATCTCCATCTCATAATTAAGGGTAGAATTGGAAAATAATCGCTTACTTCTAAAAGTGGACAGTTCTTTTCGGGCAAACTAAAATAGAAATGTGAACACTTATTTTGGGACGAATAGAGCATGTAAAAAATGGAAACTGGTTGTTGAAACTTGGTTGCCAACGGTGCTAAAAAGCGGTCCAGGTCCTGTGACTCGAACCAGTGACCTTCGGCTCATGAATAAGTAACGTTAACCTTACTGGTTGTTCAACGATGAGAATTGACATCATTTGGAAAAACAAGAAAACGGAATTACTCACCAATTGTCGTCGCCGATGCATCAAAGCCATCATGGCTCTCATTATGACATAGATTGGTACGATAACTGCCGAAGTTCGTAGAAACCATAACTGAGAACAAATGGAAAACCGATGAATGCCTGTTAAGAAAGAGCCCATAGCGTATCTAGAAACTGAAATTGGAAAGCATCACCACTTGACTATCGAGTGTAAAATAAACCAAACAAAACCAGTAAATCCCATGCAAGGTAGGGTCGGGGTTAGGATGTATGCAGCATTTCCTCTACCCCAAGGGGTAGAGATCCCGTAAAAGACCCCGAAAATTGTATGAAAAAGCAACGTACTTTGATCTTATTCCTATTTTATGTAACGTACACTCAAAACCTTCATTTTGATACATACGGTTTGAAATCTCCAAATCTGAGAATGCCTGAAATTACATCATACGTTTATCTGAATCCTATTTTGTGTAACATACTTTGCTCTAAATGTTTGAGATATCACATCTTCAGTGCCAAAATGAAGGTTCTAAAAGTACGTTACACAAAATATGAATCAGAGCGAAGTACAGTTTGGCCTTTTGCAAAATCAAAAGCCGACTATTTTCTAGACATTGTAGTAAACTAGAAAGTGAAAATTGCATTTTATCTTACCATAAACATCGGAAAAGAATAATTCACTCCTCCATTCGCGACAACAGGAAGTGCGTGACGCAAGAATAAGAGAACCACAAACTGCACACAAGCATCAAGAGAAAAAGAAGTCATGCTTACCGAAACCGAGGGTCTTGTAGGGGGAAAGGGGAGAGAGATCATACAATGGCAGCAACTGAGCGGAAACATGAGACGCTTCTAGAAGTGGAATCAGCATATTCGTCGTATTCCTGATTAAGGAAACTACGATCAGGCGAAACTACTGCAATTAATCGAGGATTATTGTTCATATCCCTCCTCGCAATCTGCCAATGCCCCCTGAAAAGCTCACGAAGCAATTAATCGAGGATTATTGTTCAAACTCTGCCTCTTTATTCATATAACTAACCTTCTTGATCCTTCCAAATCATAAATGGAGGAAGAATAGAAAGCATACCTCAAATTCAACGGAATACCCCCTAACCGGAAGACGGGGGATGGTGCTGTGTACCCTGGCTTGAATTGCTGCAATTAGCCATTAGAAAGGAAGATTACAATGCATACGGGCTTCTGAATCTATTATCGAAACCTAATGATATGACCGATGAATAGCTTTTGAGAACAATTAATGATCTCCAAAAAACCGAAAGCCAAAGAGAGAGTAAGCACCTGGTGGCATATTTCACACATGGTGTCACCCTTCTCATTACACCATCTTTGAACACATCTGCGATGAGCATACTACAAAAAGTAAAACGGGTATGAACACTAGGCTGAGCTCATATAAAACATAAAAACCAAGCCGTATATGAGCCAACCTAAGGATCGAGCTTTTGGCAAGCTAAGCCCAATCTATAGTTTCTTGAGCTCACAAAGCCATGAGTTGAGCCCGACCCTACAAACTTTTGCACAAGTCGAGCAAGCTCAGGCTTAGCTCAACTCAAATACCCCCACCCCTAACCAGCATACCATTTTCGAACATAAACCAATAACTTGGTGTCTATAACCACTCTTAAAAGCACAATTTCAATGTAGATGGGCAACACGAATAGGTCAAATCACAAAATCAAAACAATAAGATATAGCAAACCTTCAAGCTGCCACAGCAAGAACAAGGTGTCTCCATATTCAAATCAAAATCCTCATCCTGACATATCCTGCATTCGACCAATTTCCTCGGAGTGAAGACAACATGATCAGAAGAACAATCGACAACTGTCTCAGCGTTTCCCAATGGATCCAACTGCTTCGAAGGGTTTCTGCTTTCGATTGCAGCCTCCAACGTGGATTCTGTGAGCAACCGATCAACCAAAAACACGAAATGATCCCCCATAAGAACACCCACCAAATATTTCAATATCCTGAACAAAGAAACCCCCCACCGTAATTCAAATTAAGTCCCATACAAGAAAAAGAACAATAAACATATTATGAAAAGAAATTGTGGAAGACATAATTCCTAGCTTCAAAATGTTAACGGAACACCAAAGATATGATACACTCATTGATTGTTCCATTAAAATACCAAAAATAACACTACAGTTTGCGAGAATCGCTGATTTTGGACCACATGTGTGAATTTAAATGCAAAAAAATGCCATTTTTTGTTGAAAATAGCCTGTTCTTGCAATGTTGTGTTTCTTTTTCATTTTTTTAAGAACCATCATGAAGACAAAGATACAAGTACTGTGAATTGAAAAATGAATAGCTCAAGAATGAAGTGATTATTCTAAGTCAACAGATGGATCAAGCAGCAAAACAAATTGAAGATGAAATTCAGTATAAATTCAGATAACAACAGAAGGCTGAATACATTTACTTAATTACACATCAAGATATATTCTAAAGAAAGCCAAAACCATTAGCACCCAGATGAAAAGAAGTGATCTTTTGGTAAATACAAGGCAGAAGCCTTACATAGTATTCTCAAAGAAGGGAAAGTGAGAAATGATAGCTCAAGCAACAATCCAAGAGTGGATTACTTTTGTAACCATTGTATTCTTTTTATTTATGATTAACCTCGGTATCCAAGCCGACTAATCCCAGGGCGACAACCTGCTTTGCAGATAGCCCGGAGTCACCGCATTTGAACCTCCATGGCCACAAGGGGATTTTTATTCCTCCTTGGATTTGAACTTGGGCAAACCAGATACTTTTGACCTTTGCAGCCAAGCTCAAACCAATCAGGCACCACCCTTGTGGTTAACCATTGTATTTGACACTTGGATCAAAACATCTATTGAAGTTAGAAAAACCCCAACAAGGAATATGTATTGTTTTGGGAATTTTTTCATTTGCAAGGATGTCAAGCAGAAATGGTTACAGATGCAATTCATCCAACAACTGGAGCACAGAAAGGAGGCAAGATGGAAAAAGAGATCAAATTTCTGTCTTGATAAAGCTCGTGGCATATGAAAAAGATTCAAACCAAATAATTACAAACAAAAAGGATGAAATTTAGATAGAAACAAAGCTGAGGCAAGATAAAGTGATCCGAAATAACAAGACCCAAGTTGAGAGAAGGGAGAATTTAGGGCAAAAAGACCCAAATAACAACAAAAAACTGAAATTTCAAGGAGAACAAAGCTGAGGACATGTAAAAAGATTCAAAATAACAAAAACCCAATTCAGAAAACGAAGAATTACAGAAGAAAAAGAGGGTGAAATTTGAATCGAAACAAACCTGGAGCCATATAAAAAGATTCAAAACCCTAATTTGACAAAAGTGCAAAACTGAAGAACAAAAAGATGGAGTAGTACCTGCAGATGGGTAAAAAGGGGTCTGTCTTTTTTCTTTGAATGAATAAAAACTTAAAAGGCATGGAAATACAGATTAAAAGGGGGAATCTAAGATATATAATGATACAGGGAAAGTGAAACAAGGAAGAAAGGTAAAACTTACAAGAAGGGAATCGGATATGTTGAAAGCCAAGAAAGTTATGAATGTTTGAGGGTTTTGCTTTCAGTTTTGGAAATCCTTCTTGTCAGGAGCACTCAATGGGCATAGTGGAATCCATTTGATTCATGTCAAAATTCTCTATTTCCCTGCAAACTTGTATATGGTCTCTGTTCTTTCTCATACTGTCTTGCAGTTTTCTTGTTTTTGTTAAGGGTTTTCTTCCATTTTACACGCACAAAATGTGTAATACATGAAACAACAAACAACATAATATTTTCATTTTGTTTTATTAAGATTTTTATGGTCGTGAAAATAGGGTTGCTCCCTTGGCAAAACTAGAATAAAGTTAAGCCAAAAGACCCCGATTCAAGATAAATTCGTAAGGGGTAGGGGGAATTAGTCGGAACGTATAAACGAATCCGAAACTCACTGTTACCCAAAAAGATCTAAGTTTTACACAGATTATATATTAAAAAGTGGAATTGATGGTTTTACGATATTTGTTTTTCTTGTTTATAGGTTTGATCGTTTATAAAAGATTTCCTTTATTGGTTTATTAGTATGCAAATCTCAATTCAAAACCAAATAATTAATGTTTTCATTTTAAATAATTTTGTATCATGTGTTTATAGAAAATTCATTTCATATATCAGGTTCAACTATTCTATGAATCTAAATAACCATTTCAATAGTACGGGTGCTGYCGTGCCACGAGGCACGACCATGGAAGTACGCTCCATGGACGGAGCAAAAAGCGAAGTCTTGGTCAGAGCAAGCCGACCTTAGGGGATATCCCTAAGGAAAACCTTTAATCTAGAAATGAACGTAATATTATCCACTAAACATAGCTAATCGATAAAAGCAATATATAAATGGTTTATTCCAACAATACGCAGCGACAATCAAATACTTAGTAATAATAAAAGAGTTTAACGGTTGTAAAATGTTATGAAAAAAAATGTCATAAATCTTGTTGAAATGCTTGATATTCATGTAAATGGTTAATAAATGCAAATATGATATAAATGTTAGAGATGGTGTATCAAAAAAGCTAAAAAATGACATGTTTTCAGGAATTTGATGTTTTTATAGTTTGCTGTTTTTTGAAAAATCCAAAATATATTCCGCCCTTAATAATGACAGAGGTTCAACCTCCATCACGATAGGACCTCAACCGTTACGTCACTCCAATACCTTATCTATACTATATTATAAAGCATTTGACAAATACTCCTAAAAATATTTTTTTATGCATGAAATACTGTTTATTGATGCATATTAGTTAAAATTTGAGGTTACAAGTAAATCATGCGTAATTACAACTTATTAAAGTTTCATGTTTGAATTTGTGTAACTAACTGCAGATAAACATAATCAACTACAGGATAAACATCTTATTTTAAATATAAAATATCTAAAATACAATTAGGATAATCATCGAGTTACACTTATAATAAAATACTTAATTATTATCCTTATAAAAATTATATTACTAAACCAAAAATAAATTACTTCGTTAGTAAACCTAAATTAAATTATAATAAAAATATTGAATTAAAAAACTACATAAAGAACCATAAATTTTAAATAGTTAATTTGATAATAATAGCGATATATTTTTTTTTCAAATTTTTTATGAATATAAATATTATCGTTTTCTCAAAACCACATGAAATCGTATCATATCGACAGAGACAAAAAACTAAAACAAAATATTATCTCGGTGTATCTCGCTGCATTGCGCGATTATTCTTCTAGTTAATTCTAAAAGAATACAATATAATATAAAAATGATTAAATATTTAAAATATGTTAAAGGTAAAAAAAAATGGGCCTAAAATAGAATAAAACCAATGTCACCAATGTTGTATGATCCTTACCAATATAAGAATATTTAAATTTAAATAAAAAATTTGCCGACAAATAAATTATTGTATTTTTATTATTTTAGAGAATTATATTTGATTTGATATATATTTTAATAAAACTACTAGTTAATGATCTTATATCTAAAATAATTCTTGATTGAATTCAACCTAAACCAATAAGGTTTGAATTTATCTCTTGTCTTGTAATGTACATATCTGATATATAACATCAATCAGATATGACACAAGTGGATTAACATCTGAATCTTAAGAATTTGCTAAGTTCAAAATTTCGAATGTTAGTCACCATCAGATCCATAGTTTAAATGAAATGTGAGATCAATTTTTAGATTTGATTATTTTCCATCCAATTAACCTGTCTTCATGGTCACTTCATCTTGATTTTTCAAGAACCCACATCTTATTCTAAGTTATTTAAAAAATCCGAAGTTCCAACTTCATAAATTAATCTATGGTTGGAATCTGATCTATAGCTTATAATTTAGAATAGATAAAATAGGATTTTCCTTTGTAAAAGTCATCTATGTTGGTCAAAGAACAAAAAACTTTCAACAAAATTGAAAGCTAGTTGAAGTGAGGTCAAGATTATCATCAAAACAGATTAGTTTGTCATTTAGCCGAAAAAAGATCAATACAAGAGAAAATCAATTGGAGTGCAAATTTGTCCAGCAAGTTTAGTTCACCAACTCTACCAATACTCATATTAGTATGAGAACATGTTTAACATGTCAGCCAAAATAAGTTTTAAAATATTATTCTAATAGTATCATACTTTATTTATTGTTCCCTTTGCATACAAAATGATTGGTTGGGTTAACAAGTGTCTACATTAACTTCAAAAATGCTGAAATGAAGTGTACAAGCATGTATGGATCAACAAATCAGATAAAAGCACGTGTTAAAATTGGCAAGCGTCATTTAATGCAATAATGGCTAAAAAAAGTCGTCATTGTCATATGTTGCAACTCACCTGTTTTGAAAGAACTTATGAACGATAGTTTTCTTAGGCAAAATCGACGTCACTATCTAAAGAACTATCTTAGGGGCCGTTTACTAAATACTCACTTGGTAAGTGCTTACCGGATAAATTTCCTTATCTGATGAACATGAGAAGGGCCAAGAATCTTACCGTGTAAGAACAATGAAAAGGATAGAGAGTCTTACCCGGTAAGTAAGGATGACGACTCTTATCCAAGTAAGCACTTACCCAGTAACTTGTTGCATTCGATATGTTTGGATGTACTAAAATCTTACGTATCACAACAAATTATAATGTTGAATCCTATTGGTAAGCACTTACCGGGTAAGCATTTGGGTAAACGGCCCCTTAGTCCTTTATATCTGAAATAGTAGACTCCTTTTTATCCCTTCCAGCTATTAGCAAATTTTGTCACGAGTTATTTTGTTTAAGATCACAGGTTTTACCTTCGTAACTTCTGCTTAATATATGTAATTCTTTGTTTTAATACAAAATATAGAACTAAAAAGTGAAAATTTGTTGTGTTTGTATTCAATCTTCTTCTACAAACGCATCATGTGTAAGTCATTATATCACAAGACCAACGGCTTCTTGATCACATATAATATAAGCATTCTCGTATTCTCATAAGTCCACTATGCCCTTATTTGAATCCAACCTATATACAACATACAAATATACCTATATGTCATTTAAATATACTTGAATAATCATTAATTATCTTATCTTCATTTTGTTGTTATTTCTAGTAAAAAATCAACAAAGTTAAAACCAACAAGTTTTATTTTTTCAATAAAAAAATAATTTATAAAAATGGTTATATTTTAAAACATATTTATAAATATAAAAACTTATGATGGGATATAAATAAAAACTACAGAAAAAAGATTGTGAACGAAGGTAGTGTTAGGGGCCGTTTACCAAACACTTAACCAGTAAGCATTTACCGGTAAAATTCAACACTATCATTTACTTAACCGGTAAGATTTTAGTTCATGAAAACGACATTGTATGCAACAATTTACCTAGTAAGTGCTTACCGTGATAAGAGTCATCGCTCTCACTTACCGGATTAGACTCTTTTCCTAGCCTCGCTCTTACCGGTAAGATTATTGGTCTTTACCACATTCATCTGGTAAGGTTATATAACTTAGTAAGCTCTTACCCAAGTAAACGTAACGGTCCCTTAGTTCTCATTTGTTTCCCATATCCTTTCTTTCTATCTATTTGCAAACCAATTTCAACTGTTCATCTAGTGTAACGAATTAATATTTAATTTAATGAATATTTCGATTATGTCTTTTATATAAAGCGTTAATCAAATTAATGAACTCTAATAATAATCAATAAATAATCAAATCATAATAAACGAACTTTTATTATTTCAATTAACATCTCAGTTAATTAGTTTGTATGATTAGTACAAATGCCTGAATTTATAAATAAAACTACCTCTCTTGTGTGTGTATATATATATATATATATATATATATATATATATAGACTTGGGATCATGTGAGACCAATAGTTTTTTTGTGAGACCCGTAAGACCAATTATCAACCCTTGGATTATATTTACAATCGTCAGATCTAAACATTCATAAACGCCACGAGAATTCTCAATAATTACAAAATTGCCATATTGCAACTTTAGACCATTAGATTATTAAATTATAAAGTTGATCAATGAACATAAATTGGTCTTACGAGTCTCACGAAAAACCCTTGGTCTCACGTGAACCCAACCCTATATATATATATATATATGTGTGTGTGTGTGTGTGTGTGTGTGTATAGGGTTGGGTTAACGTGAAGCGAGATTGTTTTCGTGAGACACATGAGACAACATTTTTACACTTGAAACTTCACAACAAATATTGTAAAGGTAAAAAAAGCCGAACATTCACAACACAAACACTGTGAAGATTACCTTCACAATGTTTCGCTATAAAGTTTCAAGTGTAAATTTTTTGTCTCACGAAAACAACTTTGTATCACATGATCCCAGTATGTGTGTGTGTATGTATGTACGTACGTACGTACGTACGTACGTATGTATGTATGTATGTATGTATGTATGTATGTGTGTGTGTGTATGTATGTATGTATGTATGTATGTATGTATGTATGTATACACAATCCGATTTAATATCATAAAATGAGATGTTAGAACAAGTTTTAAGTTATGATTTACACATAACTTTAATCACACTTTTAAATTGGTTTGAAAATTATTATGCCAATTTGTTTTTTTGTCAATGTATTCACTATCAACTTGATTTTTGATTTTTATGTCATAATCATTATGCGTAGGAGAGATCACCGAGTGATTGAAATGTTCTAAAAATGAGCCATAACTCATATAATATTGTTATTTTGTCTAAAAACGATACACTTTTTAATCATATAGCATGACATATCTCATAACTAATCAATATATACTTTTTTTTCCCAATTTTATTAAACAAAATCTTAAGATAATTGGTTTTTTCCCTGAGAAATACCATAATTTCATTTTTTTTGTTTTCAAAAAACTTGCTTTCTAATTTTGACAATAAGACTTGAGTCTTTAAGATCATCTTTAAACATAACCAATTCGAGTCCGCAAGGTCACCGTGGACTTTCCTAGCTGTTCTCCCGAGTCTACAAGATTAATCAAAATACAGACAAGTATGTGAGTTTTTGGCATCCTAAGAGATCAGAGATTCTAACCTCACCAAATATGAGAAAAATATGTAAATTTATTTATTTAATTTGTCGTATTTAAATATTATATATTTCAAAAAACACAAATGGTTAATTTTTTTTTTTCCCTTTTTCCATCCTTTTTGATGGGTACATGTTACCCAAGATCCAATCGTACCAAATGCATTTAATTGATTTGAATGGTTTGGTTGGTGACCTTCCAAACATGATGCAGTGAGGGGACACAAGTGGTTATTGTACTTTTAGGGTAACACAACTACTTTTCAATGTTAATATTAGTTTTACCAGGGGCCGTTAATTAAACATTTACTCGGGTAAGCATTTATCAAGTCACATTACTTTACCGGATAAATATGGTAAAGACTAAGACTCTTACCCGGTAAGAGTGAGACAAGGACCATGAGTCTTACCCGGTAAGTGAGGGCGACGATTCTTACTACGGTAAGTGCTTACCGGGTGAATTGTTGCATACAATGTCGTTTTGATGGACTAAAATCTTACCCGATAAGTAACTAATAGTGTTAAATTTTACCGGTAAGTGTTTGGTAAACGACAAGTGTTTATAAATTCACCTAAATATGGCATTTTAATGTGTCTCTCTATCTTTAAAATTATAGGTAAGGCTTACGTATATTCAATCTTACTTTTCAGTGGAAAATAATGCATTTGGTGAATGCAACCAATAATGTTATTGTACTGGATATGTAATATAAAGTAGTTGGTAATTAGCACCAATGGAATTTCAGAAACTTGTAAAATAGTTGTACTGAGGGACCGTTTATCAAGACCAATTGGGTTAGCGTTTACAGGGTAAGAGTCACTGCCATCACTTATCTCAACGAGTAAGATTATTGTCCATCAAAATGGTATGTTGATAGGCGTCTCTTACTTGGTTCGCGCTAATCAGGTAAGAGTCACCACTCTCACTTAACGTACGAGTAAGATTTCAAGTCCTTTCTCATGCATTTTACAAGGTAAGATTTTCGGTTCTTGTCATGCTCACAAAGTATGGTAAGTTACTATAAGTGCTTACCAAGGTTCTAAACGGTATGAAACGTAACGTGGCGACGGGGTTAAGTCTCAAGCCTTACGAGTTATGACTAGACCATGATGTTTTCTAAGGCGTGGCTTAAGACAACAAATCTATATATAATGTATATTTATGTATGTATACGTGTGTGTGTTTATGCAAGTGTCTTGAACAATAATGATTAAAGGGCTGTTTGTTTTTTTCAAATTTTCACTTAATCTCCTCTTATGTCTGAATCGGTCAGACATAAGAACTTTCAGATCGTTTGTTTTTTTTTTTTTTTCAAATTAAGAGCTGAATTCGCTTAATTTCCTCTAAATTTTTAAGTGGTAACCCTAGCACTTAAAACCTCTTATTTCTATCGCCTCCTTACGTCGCTTGTCTCAGTTTACAAAAACAAACAGTCTTACTGATTCAGATTTCAGACGTAAAAACAAACAGTCTGACTGATTCAGATTTCAGACTTCAGCACCACCTCTTAAAATTCAAAAGTGAATTCAGACTTCAGACTTCAGCACCTCTTAAAAAACAAACGCCACCTAAGTTTTTTAACAATTTAAATTTATATAAAACAATAAACAAAAGAAGAACCATGAATTGATAATTTGATATTTACAGAGTTTACAAAAATGATATGAAATATGCAAAGTAAGTCACTGTTTACAGTCCATTTTTGGTAATCAAACAACAAAATTAAAGTAATGAAAGTAATCGAACAATAATTTTTGTATGTTGAAAAATGATTTAGGGTTTTCTTTTTCTTTTTCCTCATTTTGTTGATTAAGTATTCGTTGCGTAAAACTATAAAGTTCACATTTACTCCTATTCAAGTTTTCAAAATTACAAATTCTTTCCCATGCTATAACACGCCATGGCGCGCCATAACGAGCTCCATGTCTTATGCCCCCGCCAAGGAGGTTAACGTAACGGCAAGTTTACGCCTCACTCGGTGCCATTGCGCGTTTTTAAGAATATTGGTGTTTACCCAATTAGCATCTGATAAACGACCCCTAAATATAACAACTTGTTTTATGACTTGTATGCAAATGATAGATGGCCATCGGTTGCCGACGATATTTTTTCACGCATGCATTATTTTTCTTTAAAATAATTTGTTTTAATACATTCTAGTGGGTGTTTGGGATTGTTTATTTAAAACAACTTATGCTTTTATACACAAAGACTTATCAACTTATTATAAGTTAGAAGAATTTAACTTCTTAAAAAACTCCTTATTATTGGTTTGATACCGGTATAAGTTGTTTATCCAAACACTCAAAAGTATATATTACCAGTTACAAACCAAAATAAGTCAATAAGTTGTTTTTATAAGTAATCCCAAACACCTTTTGCAATCTCTCATCTGCAACAAACCGGCTCCTCCGTAATTGTGTCCAGTAATGGCTTCCTTGACCTACAAACCGCCATTCTATAGCCAAACTCCGGCAGCTCCTCCACCGCCATCCTCAGCTGCTCAACCTCATCCTCCTCCATCGCCTTCGCATCACCATTAATCTTCTTTGACTCAATCCGCTTAGCCGCACTATTAGCTGACATCCAGAAAAGCGCCATATCCGCAGGCGTAATCATGGAATTCAACCTCCTCATCGGAAACATGATGTAGAAGTTTCCAGACTCCAACTCTTCATCGGCTGAAAGAGGAGAAAACCTTCTGTTGATGTTTAACGACTGTGAGTTGACCAGGAAGAAGTTGGGACAGTCGAGCATGATCTCTGCCGCCTTGACGGATTCCTGAAACTGCCGGATTTCACCCGTCGGGAATATAACTCTGGCTGCTTTGTTGCTCTTCATTCTAGGCGAGATCATAAGATTGCATGCTGATGCGTAATTTCCCATTTCTTACACAAATCGATCGAAATCTGAAAACAAATTGGGGAAGACGATATGAATGTGTGTGTGAATATGTCTAGAGAATTGGGGGTTAGGAAAAGGGAATGAAGGCGAGTTGGGGGAATTGTCACGCAGTAAATTACGGTACGACTTCATTATAGGAAATATAATTTTCACACCCTTAAATAATACAATATTTAATTATAATTTAATCCATAAAATGTATTTTATTAATACAAATTTGATGAGAAAAAGAGTTAAGATGAGAACCGTAAGAAGGGATCTCTGCTCTCGGATGAACATTAAAATGAGATTCACCAGATCAATCCCTATATCAAGCACGACTCATGGTGAGTTTGAGATTAAAAGTGATCAAGGGTTTGGATTTATTCTTACGTTTCTCACCTTAACTCTGTTTCTAACACGATCATTCGTTACCATATAACTTTAAAGATAAATGATAATTATCGTCTATGGACTACATTTAAGACTTAAATAAACATTAAATCTAAAACCTAAATAGGTAAATTCTTACTCTCATTCCCATACAGAGAGGGTCGAACAAAAATTCTTTGAATGTTGAAGAAAACAATGAGTAGAGAGACACAAAAGATTTAGGGGCCATTTACTAAACGTTTACTTGGTAAGTGCTTACCAAATAAATTTTCTTATCGGATGAACATGACAAGGGCCAAGAATCTTACTGGGTAAGAGCGATGAGAATGATGGAGAGTCTTACCCGGTAAGTGAAGATTACGACTTTTACCCAGTTAAGCGCTTACCCGGTAAATTGTTGCATTCAATACGTTTTGATGTACTAAAATTTTACTCATCAAAATAAATTATAGTATTGACTCCTATAAGGAAGCACTTACCGGGTAAACATTTGGGTAAACAGCCCCTTAATCAATTTTGCACTTTTGATATCAATTTTCATGTAAGTTTCATATATAAGTGGTTCTTCTTTTCTTTTTAGTTCTATAATTTTATAAGAATTTAAATTGTTCAATGGGATTATTCAATTATATTTATATACATACAAATAAGTAGGCATATACCGCCTTAGGGCACACATTAAAAAATATAATTGTCTGCCCTAAGTCATAAGGCTTGAGGGTTGACCTCGCCAACACGTCACGTCATGTCTCACGTCATTTAGAAAAACCTTGATTGTTTCCCCTAAAAGCTTACTCCGTAAGCGTTCTAACGGTCCATTAGTTTCACTTATGTTTTAAGATTTTTTTGGATGTATATAATATTTATATAAGTTAAATGAACTTACATACCCTCCTTATTTTTTGTAAGGTTTGAATCTACTGTTAACTCAGATAAATCGCTGAGAACAAAGACTTTTCGGTTTATAAGAATTATTGGAGATTAAAAATGTAAAATTAAATAAGAGTTTTATGAAAAGAACAAAACATCATATTTCTTGAAAGATACGAGACATAAATGATGGTTTTGGTTCATTAAAATATGATGAAATTCAAAAGAAATAGAATGATAAATTCATTTGATTAAGATTTGTTGGTTTGTTTGGTTGGTTGGAAATTTTGAAATAAATTTAATTCTATCAGATTTCAACTTTAAAATAGAGTAAAATAAGTATTTTAAATGTACTAGAAGCGTACTCGCGCAATGCAGCGAGATACATCGTGTTTTTAATATTTCATTTTATTCTTTATCTCAGTCGATATTATAATATGACTTTATGTGATTTTGAGAAAGCGATGATGTTTTTATTTTTGAATAAACTATATGTTTGACGATATCATAAAAATTTGACAAAAATATATCGATATTAGTATCAAATTAACTATTTGAAATTCCTCATTTTTTTGTATAATATTTTAATTCAAATTTTTTATAATTTAATTTATGTACAATAACGAAGTAATTTATATTTGGTTTAATAATATAATTGTTTTATAAAGATAATAATTATTTATTTTGTTGAAAGTCGATTTATACAAATTCAAACATCGAGCTTTAATAAGTTGTACTTATGCATAATTACTTGTAATCTTGAATTTTAAGTAATATGCATCAATATACAGTACTTTATGCATA